TGACTATTATGTTATGGTTGCTTCTAAATTTTTGCATTTATAAAAGCTGTCTCCATTAATATGACCCCAAACTAATATTTAGATGTTTGATATTTTGTTCCTTTTAAAACCAAAAACATTTCTTTTAATGCCAAATTCTCCTTGTATGCTATTTTGTTCCTTTTCATTAACCCTAATCCTAATGTCATGCCCGAAAGGTAATTACAGTTAGCAAAGTGTTATTTTTCCAGATTTTTCTTATATATGTTATTAGTAGTTGTTCCTTATTTTATCTATGCAGTCATGTGTATGCATTGGTTTGCTGTGAGAATCCAATGAATCCATCTATTCCTAGAATACAGTATAGGTTTAATAAAAGGTTTCTCTTGTCATTAGCATACTGTTTTATAATTTCCTTTATGACTTGTGGAAAGGGTGTGTGGGTGTGGGTGTGGGTGTGGGTGTGGGTGTGGGTGTGGGTGGTGCTGGGGATAGAGACCAGGGCTTTATATTTGCTAGACAAGCACTCTATCACTGAGCTATAGTCCAGCCCCTCACTGGTGAATTCTTGGTAAATGTTTTATTGTTAACTCACTTCTCCTAGCTTCTGGGACATACTTCTAACTGCCATTTACCTTTACCAAAATTTGAGGATTCATGACTGAAAAAGAAATAGTTATATGAAGTAAAGCCTTTCCTCTACCATTTATTGAATTACAAGTGGGAAAGGTATATGTGTGGGTAGTCTTTATCAGACTTAATCTCTCTCTCTCTCTCCCTCCCTCCCTCCCTCCCCCTCCCCCTCCCTCCCTCTCTCATTCTCTGTGAGTGAGTGTTGCAACTCTGGGGGAAAGGTATCCTGGCTGCTCAGGGGAGTCAGGCGATACCTGGAGTTGGGGTGTGATGGGGGATGGTCTTCCCAAGCAGGATATAGCAATCCTGCTCCTCTCCTGGAGAGCTGCTACAGCTGAGCTTTGCTCAGCCCCCACTTACGGGGGCTTCCCAGCAGAGCTCTGTTTCTTCTCCGGCCTAAGATGTTGCTTCTTTAGTTCCACTCTGCTAAAGGGGAAACCCCTGCAGAAATGTACCTACCTCCTCCGGCAAAAAGTTGTTATTTTTTATGCTCCACCTTGCACAGTCCCCTAAGGGACATCTCAGCAATCTTCTCTGCACCAGTGAATGAAGATCTTCACACCCAAGACTTTTGAGAAAGAGATTTATTTGGGAAGTATTGAAAGCTATCGGGGTCCAGCCCCTCGATAGCCTTCACCCAGAGTTCCAGAAGAGATGTTACCGGCAGTGGATTAATCTGAGAAATTCACGAATAAATCTACACACATGAAACTCTTTAGTCCGTTCACTTTATTTTTCTGAGTCTCTCTCTGCACAGCTTCTTTTCTGCTCTCATGTCTAGCCCTTTCTTGCCGGATTTCTCTCTACATTTTCTGCTGTATCCTCTAAGTGCTATCTTAATTCCTTCATCTAGTTCTGCCCCATCCAGGTTTTTATCCATCTAGTTCTTTCCCATCTTAGCTCCTCTCCCATCTCACCTCTCATCCTGTTTTTCCTTATCTTGTTCTTCCCCACCTGGCTCTTCCTCGTCTTCCATCTTGTTCTTCTAATTCTCTCTTCTAGTCCTCCAATCTAGTTCTCCTGCCATCTAGTTCTTTCCATCTCAGTTCATTCTTCTCCAGTTCTTAACCATCTAGCTCTTCTATTCTCTTTTTTCTTCTCCATCCTATCTGTGAAAATAAAACTGCCTTTATCCCTTTGGCCCTTATCTCTCCAAGCTATCTCTGCTCCCACCGTTTCTGGCAAGTGTGCTCAGTCACTAGGCAACTTGGCTAGGCAACTTCTGCCATAGCTAGATGTATCTGTAAATATGAACCCTTTGGTTCTGAGTTAATTGTTAAGGGTGGATCTAAAACCAGAGATAAGAATTTGGAAAGGAGAAAGTTAAGCTTGATTAGCACATCCGCCAGGCCTTCTCAGATAGTCTGGATGCTTAACTCTGTTCTTCAAGAATCTGTGAGGTATCTCAGATAGATACTTTCCTCCATCCGAGGATAGTCCTGGCCAGATGCTGCTAATGACGATAATTACAGAGGGGCCTGAAATTAGGGATTCTGACTGTGTCTGGTGTAGCACAGTTGGAGAAAGTTACACAAGTACTTTCATTGTAGAGGGGACATTGTGCCCAATGGATGATGGGAAAGCTACAATAGCACACGAGAAATTCATAGCAGGAAATGGCTAATAATCCAAAGCCAATATCACTAAGACTCCTTGAGCCTTGGCCTCAACCTCTGGAAGAGTTCTTAATTCTTCCAGGTCTAGTTTTGTCATAATCAGCTGAATTCCTACTTCATATATTTTTGCAGCCTGCAGCAGGGACGGAGGAGTCCAGGAGAGCGGCTGCCTCTACCAGGGTGGGAAAGAACAGCCCACAGCTGAACAAGCAGTAGGTTTAGATAGGATTTCTTAGGGGTGGAGTTTCTCCAGGGGGAAGATTTTCTGGCCAGAGATTGGTTTTGTGGATTAGGGGCAGAGATGGTCCTGATTTCAGAGCCAAACTGTGTTTCTTTCACTGGCCTTTTTAGCTTTTTGGCTCTAATTCTTAGGCCAGGGCCTCTCTTTTTCACTGGCTCTGATTCTAGGGACAAAGTGTGTTTCTTTGGCACTGGTTTCAGAGTCAGGGCATGTTTCTTTAGTTCTGGGTTCAGAGATAAAGTGTTTCTTTCTCTGGCTGAGGTCCCAGATCTAGGCTATGTTTCTTTCACTGGTTCTGGGCTCCAGGGTCAGGGTGAGTGAGTTTCTTTAGCTGGCCCCTTCTCCCCCGACCCCCGCCTCCCCTCCCTCCTTTCCTGCCTGTCTTTTTGTCTCTTTGAGACAATGTTTTACTTTGTAGCTCTGGCTGGACTGGAACTCACTATGTAGACCAGGCTATCCTGGAAAACAGTGATCTGCCTGCTTCTGCCTTCTAAGTGCTGGGATTAAAAATGTGGGCCAGCCGGGCGGTGGTGGCGCACGCCTTTAATCCCAGCACTCGGGAGGCAGAGCCAGGCGGATCTCTGTGAGTTTGAGGCCAGCCTGGGCTACCAAGTGAGTTCCAGGAGAGGCGCAAAGCTACACAGAGAAACCCTGTCTCGAAAAACCAAAAAAAAAAAAAAAAAAAAAAAAAGGCAACATAAAAGCAATGGGATATTTGACACCACATTTGATAACCTGATGTTATCAATATCTGATTTGAGGGAAGTAGTTACAATCCTCAGTGTTCATCAAATATCTTGGTTCTACTTTTGGTGTGCTTCATTCTTGAAAATAGTGGCTCACAAATGTAGGTACTGTCCAAAAGCTATGATATTAGTAAAGGCATGACTGTGGAGACATTTGTCTCTGAGAAGTAGGACATATGAAATTATAGTCTTCAGTCCACACAATACTCAACCACAGCTGAAACAGGCATTGGAAGTCTAGAGCAAAGAAAACTAGTTCTTCTATAGGATCTGGGTTTGGATTTTAGCACCCGTGTCAGGCAGCTCACAACTGCCTATAACTCCAGTTTCAATGAATCTGGCACCCTCTTCCTCGGGTACCCGAATACACATGGCATATGCGCGCACGCGTGCATGTGTGTGTGTGTGTGTGTGTGTGTGTGTGTGTGTATTTGTGTGTGTAAGATGAAGTGCTAAACGGTCTTATTAATAAAAAAAGCCAGCAGCCAGATATTGGGGTTAAAACCAGAGATCAGAAAAGCAGAAAGAAGCCAGCCACATTCTCACCACTTGGGGATCCTCAGCCAAAGAGACCTACTTCCTGTGTACCCACGCCTATATGCCTTTGTGTTCTGCCATCTCATTTCCTCTCTCCGCCCAGCTACATCACTTCCTTTTCCTGCCCAGCTCTGTCAGTTCCTGTCTGTCTATACAGACCTCTAGACCTTTATGTTAATGCTGGGATTAAAGGTATGTACCATCATGCCTGGCTCTATTCCCAGTGTGGTCTTGAACTCACAGAGATCCAGGTGGATCTCTGCCTTCCAAGTGATAGGATTAAAGGTGGGTGCTACCATTGCCAGACCTCTATGTTTACTATAGTGGCTGGCTTTTTCCTCTGATCCTCAGATAAACTTTATTGGGGTACACATAAAGTATATATATATATATATATATATATATATATATATATATATATATATATATATATGGGTTGAGACAGGGTTTTTCTGTGTAGCCTTGGCTATCCTGGAACTCACTCTGTAGACAAGGCTGGCCTAAAACTCAGAGATCCACCTGCCTCTGCCTCCCAAGTGCTGGGATCAAAGGTGTGTGCCACCACTGCCTGGCAAAATATATATTTTTTAATCAGTGGGCCAGGCAAAATATGGTGTCACACATCTTTAATCCCAGCACTAGGGATCAGAAGCTGGTAACGTTGGTTATCAAATACTCATGTAGCTTTTGGAGGGTTTGTTTTGTTTCTAGACAGGTTCTCATTATTTAGGTCTGGCTAGCCTGGCTAATATGTAGATCAGGCCTCAAACTCAGAGAGATACCCCATCTTTGCCTCCCAAGTGCTGGGATTAAAGGTGTGTGCCACCATGTCTTGCCAGCTTTAGGATTTTTGATTGGTGAATTCAATTGATCTTATTAAAATGGAATGGGTGTGCACACATACAGGACCTAGTGACTGGAGATGACTCCATTCTTGGCTTGTTTTTGCTTTCTATAATACAGGTAGTTACTTTTTTAAAAGTTCATTTAAGAGACCAGAGAGGTTGCTCAGCAGTTGAAAGCACTTGCTGCTTCTCCAGAGAACTTAAGTTTGGTTCCCAGCACCCACACGGCAGTTCACAACTGTCTTGTAACTCCAGTTCCAGGGAACCTAAATGCTTTCTTCTGGCCTCTTAGGGAACCAGGCACACACGTGGTACATATACATACATGCGGGCAAAACACTCATACACATAAATAAAGACCTTACTTTAAAAAAAAAAAAAAAAAAAAAACCTTTGAAGATACAGCAGTTGAAACACCACACTCACACACCCCTTACATGCAAGCCCTGAAACAAAAGACCCCAAACAGTAACACAGACAGAAATGGTCACTCTCTAAGTAAAATAGCCAGGCGGCCCTTAATCCCAGCATTCAGGAGACAGAGGCTGGCAGATCTCTGAGTTGGAGGCTAGCCTGGTCTACAGAGCTAATTCCTTGACAGCCAGAGCAACTCAGGGAAACCCGGTCTCCAAAATCCAAAACCCAGAAACAAACAAAAAACAACAAGGTAAGGCCGTCACTCTACACACCCGCAGTGACTCCAAGTCTGGTGTCACACACTCAAACTTGTAAGGATGTAATTTCAAATTCAGAACCTCAGTAAGCTGACAGAAGCCAACCCCCGTTGGTGCGCACGCGCAATGGTGTGCCGCAATAGTAATGCACATACCACACACGCAGGCATTCCATCACTGTCACGCCCTTGCAGAGCCTTACCATCGCCTCTCACAGACCAACCCACACCCGGGAACTCGCCTGGGACAGCTTACAGTTCCCTGCGCTCTCGCGCTTGCCGCACATCTTGAAGCACAAGCGCAAAGTGGAAAGGGTTGCGCCGCAAAGCACTCTGGGGCTGGTAGTTCTCGGGTCGGATTCAGCAGCTAGTTGAGAGCACCGGGGGCAGGCGTCAGCCCTCCCGCTCGCACGCGGGGACGTCACGGGCCTGGATCACAGAGCGTGTTTCCATAGCCTGTGGCACCGGGAGGTGAGTTAGGCTGGGCAGGAGCAGGAGGTGAGGGGCCGGCTGGAGATGGAGTGTGACGAACCGTGTGGGGACCCAGTGGACACCGCGAGGCGTGTGTGTGTGAGGGAATGTGTCAGTGTGTTGTTGTGCACAAGTATGTGAGAGGCTCCAGCTGTGACAGTGTGTTATCTTGTGTCACTGTGGGTGTGCATGCCTGTATTCGTTTCTTGTGTGTGACTGACAGGAAAACCGAATGCTTGTGATGGTTTGTGATGTGCTACTGTGTGTTTACGTTTTCCAGAGAGCCAACTGTGACATTATGTGTGCCTGTTTCTGTGTGTTTACATGAACTGTGTGCAGTTCTGCGTGTGACTGGGTGAGAAACTGAGTGTGGTGGGATCATGGACCTGATGGCCTGGGATCTACTTTGTGGTTATGAGGTGCAGGGAAATTAAAATTACTTGCCCAGCTTCACGAGGATAATGAGTGGTAGAACCAGTACTCAAACACAAGCAGTTGGCTCTAGGCTTCTTGCTTTAAAAAAAAAAAAAAAAAAAATTAGTTAAATTTTTTTCTTTTATGTGTCTGAGTATTTTACCTGAATGTTTGTCTGTTCACCATTTGAATGTCTAGTACCCTGGGAGGCCAGAGGACGGTGTTAGATCCCCTGGAACTGGAATTACAGATGGTTCTGAGCCACCATGTGGATGCTGGGAATAGAACCCTGGTTTTCTGGAAGGGCAGCCAGTGCTCTGTCTGTTGATTCATCTCTCAGACACCTACTTCGTGCTTCCAATTAAAAATCGTTTTGTTTCCTGCTCCCCAACACACATATTTTGAGGGTTAAAAACAGGAGGATGTTGGAGAGAATTATCTCTGGAACTAGGGAATTTTAGGTCATGGAGGTTTGATATGGACGTTTCCCTTCAGTCTGAATTACGGAATGGAGTCAAAGACATTGTCGTGAGAACATACTGAAACTGGTTTCTTTCAGGGAAGGAAAGTCCATCTTCTTCCTTGTAAGGTCACTGAGTTGGACATCTTAGTTTGTCCATGTCAAAAATTATGTCATTTTTGGTACTGAGACTTAGTCTATAATTCTTTTAATGGTGAACCAAGTAAGCTAAGTTTTTGGTTTTGACTTTTGCATTTAATAAAGAAAAATGTTCTCATTTCATTTTCAACTGTGAAAATAGAATACAAACAATAAAAGATACTGTGCACTAAGTGTGTTGGCTCCTGCAGTTTTAACTATGTGGAAAGAAAGCTTCTGAATGATTTGCCTAATGTCATATACCAAGGACAGGAGTTGAAGAACTTTGGTCTAGAAGCTATACAAATCTGTCTTTTCCATTACACATTTTTTTTTGCAAAGACTGATGCTCAATTCAAATTTAGAAACATGTCACCAAAAATATGTTTATCTGATGTTCATCAGATATGTTTATCAGATATGATATCTGATACAGATATCAGAATAGAACAGAAACTTGAAAGCAGTTCTTTTAGGCAAGTGCCATTTAAGGTCCTTCCAGCTGCCAGCAAGAATGCAGTGATTTTCCTCTCCGGTTGGAGAGGATTTTTATAGACTATTTCAAGTTGAATTACATTAAGGAAATGACATTCCTCAAGACAGCTGGCTGCTGCTGTATATCCGGAATTCTAGGTCAGACTCAACTCTCCCATTTTCAGAAGACATGTTGGCTTTCAGAGGTCTGGGATGCTTCCAGCTGCACAGGTTGCTGTGGCAGTGTCTCACTCAGGCTGGTTTTCTGTGGCACAATTAAGATGACAGTTGCCGTTTCTGAAAATGCTGATGTAAGGGACATATCACATCAGTCCTCAGATCTTGTTGAATATTTTCCACTCAGACATCACAGCTTTTTTAAAGAAAAGATTTCTTTCTATTTATGTGTATGTGTGCTTGTAGGTATCTGCCTGACAAGCTTGCTGGGAACCAAGCTCTGGTCTTCTAAAAGAACAGGAAGAGCTCTTAACCCACAAACTGTTTCTCCAGCCTATTTATTTATTATTGTTATTTTTTAATGAAACAGGGTCACATCTTACTATGTAGACCAGGCTGGCCTCAAACTTACAGAGATCTATCTGTCTCTGCTACTCAAGTACTGGGATTAACAGTGTGTGCGACCTTGTCCAGACATCATTGTAGCTTTTTGAATGACCAACTTTGGAAAAAATATTTCATGTATGACTATACTGTATTCCATAACTTCTACTCTTCCTTCCCCTCTTCAGTCCTCTCACGCTCCCACTCTTGAATTCCTGACCTCTTATCATTATTGTTATATGCAATCACACACACATACAACCCAGCGAGTCCATTAGTGTTAGGGCTGACCTCTTGGGATTGGATAGCCTGCCATATCTGAAGGAAGCTTATTCTACCTTTTTCAATGGCCTTTGATAGCCTGTAGCTCTGCGTTTGAGGGAGAGGTCTTGTGAAATTTCCCACATCTACATTGTCATGTTAACTGGGATGAGAAAGACCAGCTTTTAAATCATGCTTCATTTGAACCCTTAGAAGGCAGCTGGAGAGACAGCTCAGTGGTTAAGAGCACTTGTTCTTACAGAGGATCCATGTTTGATTCCCACGTCACACCTCAAAACCTAAACTCTAGTGCCAGAGCACCCAACAGCCCTCTTCTGCTCTTCTTGGGCACTGCAGATATGATGCACAGGTATACATACATGCAGGCAAAACCTCCATACACATAAAATGTGAAGGAATTTTTTAAATTAGAATTGGTTGCTTAAACTTCTTGAACATCAATTTTACTTATTATTAAAATGAGGATAGTAATACCTACCATTTCAGTTTCTGAAGCTTACATAAGGTTAGCATGAGCAACATGCATAATGTCACTATGTATATTACAGGATACACAATATGGCTTATATTGACTTATACAACAATTCTGAGCACCTACAATAGCTCTTGCATTGTTCTACTATTAAAATGTACAAGAGAGCCAAAGAAATCCTAGCTGTCTTAGATCTTGCAATCCTGGGTTGGAAGACAAAAAATAAAATGTGTGGGATAAATGGTAAGAATAAAAATAAATCGGGGCTGGAGATATGGCTTAGAGGTTAAGAGCACCGACTGCTCTTCCAGAGGTCCTGAGTTCAATTCCCAGCACCCATATGGTGGCTCACAACCATCTGTAATGAGATCTGGCACCCTGTTCTGTATACATAATAAATAAATAAATCTTAAAAAAAAAAAAAAAAAAAAAGAGGCCGGGCGGTGGTGGCGCACGCCTTTAATCCCAGCACTCGGGAGGCAGAGCCAGGCGGATCTCTGTGAGTTCGAGGCCAGCCTGGGCTACCAAGTGAGTTCCAGGAAAGGCACAAAGCTACACAGAGAAACCCTGTCTCGAAAAACCAAAAAAAAAAAAAAAAAAGAATAAAAATAAATCAAGATTGAGACTAGAGAAATGGCTTAGCAGTTTATGAGCCCTTGCTTCTTTTCCAGAGGACCTGGGTTCAGTTCCCAACATCCATGTCAGGTGGTTTACAGATCTCCTGTAACTCCAGCTTCAGGGGATCTGATGTCCACTTCTGGCCTCTATTGGCACTCACACACATGTACCAGGCAAACAGACACATGGTTACATACACATTAATAAAAAAATAATAAATCTTGCAAACTACAACAAAATCAGGGGGAAAGTAGTGACCAGAAGGAATTCTGTGTAGATAAAAATAATTCAGCAAAGTCCCTCTGTAGCCACAATAATACAGGTAGGAATAGAGAGATAGTGAGTCATGTTGATTCCTAGGAGAAGGGAGATTCAGACAAAAAGAAAAGCAAAAGCAGAAACCACAAGTGGTCTCCATAGTGTTTGAGTAGCAGCAGGGAGACCTTTGTCTGGAGACGGGGGACAAAAGGGAGAAGGGTAGGAGATGGGATCAGAAGCATGGCAAGGGCTGGACCGTAACTTGCCATGTCGGCCATAGGAAAGGCTTCATTTTTGTTGGATTTTGGCAACATATCCTTAATATAAGTCAAGACTCCTGTGATTGACTTCAGCATGGCCTTTTCATCAGATATTGGAAAAAGTGAGTTGTCCCACACAAGGGGGAAGTGAGGATAATAAAAGAACAGGAGTCCTGTCTTTGTGATTCTCACATGGGAAACAGAGCACTTTGTCCTCAGAGGGCCGTGGTGTGAATCCTAATTGGTCTTAATAATAAAAACCCAGAGCCAAATATCAGGGTAAATGCTGAACGATCAGAGAGACAAAGGAGCAAGCCACAGCCACCTCTTACCTCGCCAACTCCTCAGCCTGAAAGGGGTGAGTTCCTGTCTCCTCCCACCTTATATTCCTCTCTCCACCCAGCCATATCATTTCTTGTCTCTACCTCCCTAGTGCTGGGATTAAAGGAGTGTGCCTCCCAAGTACTGGTATCAAAGATATGAGACCCCAAGTGCTGAGATTAAAGATGTGCAGCACCACAGCCTGGCTCTGTGGTCAGCTAGTGGCTGGCTCCACACTCTGATCTCCAGGCCAGCTTTATTTGTTAGAGCACAAACAAAATATCACCACATTTCCCTTTATCTGTCTAAAATTTAAAAAGGTTATAAGAGAAACTATATACAATAAGTGCAATGACTATATACAATATATACAAGCAATACATACATCAACAATGTCTAATCCATTAACAATTGACAAATTTAGAGAGAATACTCCGTGTATCTATCCCATCTTAGTGAGTCCAAAAGGTTGTACCTAATTCACTTTCTATTCTAACTTGCATTACCAAAATTATCTTTTAATGTCTCTCAACCCTATACACTTTACACCTCTTTAGTAAATTTCTTTCCTGAATTTGGTAACAAGGAAAACTATAACTATAAGTCTTCAACTCCATCAGAGACCTGAGAAGGAAATAATATTACCTGAGTAAGTAGGAAGTGCAAGCAAGTGACTTCCAAAAAATGTGAGAAATGCCAGAAACATCTGGCTGCCTGGACAGTCACCCAAGTTTCCTCTGCAACATTGGGGCATCCATCTTTGGCCTACAGGCCTAGAATATCTGACACAATTCTCTTTGAAGTATGATTTTCTGAAGGGCTGTCCTACCTTGTCTTGGCAAAGTTCAATAGTCCTTTCTTTTGTGTCCTGCTTGTCCCATTTGGAGAGCATACTGTCAGCAGTCGAAGCAAGGGCATTTTCTTGCCCAGTAGCTAACTTTTGCCATAAAAAAACTAAACTCCATATGGAGTTTCTTTGATGCCTATCATCTCTGAAGCAGATTGGTGCTGCCATGAGCAGGCATGTCTCATTGTCATAAAAAAAAAGAACCTATGTTATTAAAACATCTTAAATGCCATATTCTGTAGATCTCCGAAGTGTTTGAAGATGACCTGTCTATCTAAAATATATCTCTGTTTAATCATCAAAACATACCTAATAACCTAATATGAGTACAAGTTTTAATTGTAATGGTGACTAACTACTAACCTGCATTTCTTTATTATCCTAAATGGTTTGTAATAACAACTTTCAAGGATTAGAAATTTGCATTATATTGTTAAATGAGTTGCATAGGTACAATACCTTGAACAAGAAATGTATGTACAGTATGTTCTAACAAAATAATCTCAAATTTGTATCAATATATAAAAATCCATATTAATGTAAAATATTTAAAGCTAGTAGTTGCTTTTTTGGTTTAAAAGTAGATTCAATAATCTACCTTTTTTTCCTGTCTCTATACCTCCCTTTTTTCTTTTCAGAGTAGATTCAATAATGTACCCTTTATCCTATAATTTCTATACCCCCCTTTTCCTTTTTTTTTCTTTTTTTAATCATTGCCAATAACAACTTGTAACTAGTCACCCTAAATAATGACAAATATCCATAATCCACTGAATGACCAAAAACCACCCACTCCACCTCTTGGGAATGTGGGCATCGTGTTCTTAAGTTTACTTCCTGTTGTCTGGCGGTAACAGCATCTTTAGGGGATCCTGAAAGAAAAATTTGGGTTAATTGTCAAGTCCTGGGAGAGGTAGCTGAATCATTTGTTGTTGAGTCTCTGTATAATGGGAAAATGCAGAGCTTGTCTCAACTCCTGGCTAGAGTAGTCTGTAAGGCTGGGTCATCTCAGCTAGCCATGTCAAAATTGTCCTGAGCAGTTTGTCGCCCAAAGCTGATCTTTGGGTGATGATTGTCAGCTTAGGGTATTACCATAGTCCTG